GGGTCATCAGGTACATCTGCTCACTGGATGACAAAATGGTACACACCAGTTTCTTGAATGTCAAAGCTCTAGCCAACAATTTCCTATCTATATCGATACCAAGCTGAAATGTAATATAGAATATTATGAAAATAATATTCAACTTATTTGCTACGGAATCGAAAAATAAAGTAACCTGAGTGTTATGTCTAAGACATGTTCCGAGAGTTTTTTAAGCATGATGAAAATTTCAAATGTAATGTCAGATATTTAACAAATTCTACATCAATTATTTCCATAAATTTCTCATCTGGGTTCATATGTTGAAATAAAAGGTTTCTTGTGGTACTTATATAAGTGATGAGGTTTTTTCTTGGAGAACCAAGATATTTAAACATGTACCTCTTCGTTTATACCTAAAACACTTTTGATAACATTTCTCACTTAAATTAAAATGGGACATAAAGAACTCTACCCTGTAGAGTGAGCACAAGCAAATGTGAACATTGCAGACAGACGGACTGACCGACAGGGCAAATACAATAAACGCTCATACGATGTGTGGGCGTATAAAAATGTATGTGCTACTTACATTCACAGTTTTAGCTGGCCCAGCTCCTGAAATAGCTGAATCCTCCGTTAATTCAGCATTAGTCATGGATTCTTCTTGATCGGACACTAGTACTGATGATGAATACTTAACATACTGAACCTAGGCATACAAGGAATGGAAATAAGGAAATCATGTAAATTTGACGGTTGCGCAATAATTGGCAGCCATTTGGTTACTTATGAGACACTTTTTAATTTTCTCACAACTGCTACAGAAATGATTGAAACGTGTCAAATTTTTGTCACAACTAATCTCATTGTTATATTTTATAGTATTTCTAAATAATTTCATGAATACAGAGCTTAAAATGTGAAAATTACTAACCTTTTCCTGCTTGACATTAATTTGGACATTTTCAAGGCTTTGGCGGGTTCAAGGGAGATAACTCACTACAACTGCTAAAAGTAGACTCGATCGGAATAGTCGCAATTAAACTCTGTTTATAAACTCTGTTTACTCAAAGCAACGACTTTGGTTTATTCAAAGAAACGACTTTGATTTACACAAAGCAACGACTTTGGTTTACACAATGCAATGACTTTGGTTTTATGTGGGCGTTTATATTGCCGTCACCCATATCCGTCAGTCCGTCCGTCCACAATTGCTCGTAAACACTCTATAAGGCACAATTCTTGACTGATTTCGACGAAACTTGGTATGGTTGTTTGTAATCACCCAAGGATGAACCCTATTGAAAATCAGACGTATCGAAAAATATTTACTATGAGTTATTACCCTTTTTATTGAAATGCTCGTCAACGCTCTAGAAGGTGCAATTCATGACAGATTTTGATGAAACTTGGTATGAGTGTTCGTAATCGCCCAAGGATAAACCCTATCGAAAATCAGAGAAATTGAAAAATATTTAGTATGAGTTATTGCCCTTGTTCTTAATAGCAAGTTCAATTTTTAGTTCGTAAACACTCTAGAAGGCACAATTCTTGACAGATTTTGACGAAACTTGACATGAGTGTTGATTATCACCCATGGATAAACTGTATTGAAAAAGGAGAAAAATTGAAAAATATTTAGTATAAGTTATTGCCCTTGTTCTTGAAAACACGTTCAAATTTTAGCTTGTAAACACTCTAGAAGGCACAATTCTTGATGGATTTTGACGAAACTTGGTGTGAGTGTTTGTAATCACCCAAGGATAAACTCTATCGAAAATCAGAAAAATTGAAAAATATTAAGTATTAGTTATTGCCCTTGTTCTTGATAACGTGTTCAATTTTTAGTTCGTAAACACTCTAGAAGGCACAATTCTTGACGGATTTTGACAAAACTTGACATCAGTGTTTGTTATCACCCATGGATAAACCGTATCGAAAAAGAGAAAAATTGAAAAATATTTAGTATGAGTTATTGCCCTTGTTCTTGAAAACGCGTTCAAATTTTAGCTTGTAAACACTCTAAAAGGGAGAATTCTTGACGGATTTTAAGGAAATGTGGCTCGAGTGTTGGTTATCACCCAAGGATGAACCCTATTAAAAATTAGAAGAATCTAAAAATATTGAGTATGAGTTATTGCCCTTATTCTTGAAAAAGCGTTCTATTTTTAGCTTGTAAACACTCTAGAAGGCACAATACTTGACGGATTTTAACGAAATTTGGCTTGAGTGTTTGTTATCACCCAAGGATATAGCCTATTGAAAATCAGAAAATCTATTTTAGTATGAGTTATTGCCCTTGATCTTGAAAACTCGTTCAATTTGTAGCTCATAAAAACTCTAGAAGGCACGATTCTTGCCGAATTTTGACAAAACTTGGTTTTATTATTCATTATTGCGCTGAAGATTGAATATTTGTCTTCTAGAGTTTTCACGAGCTAAAGATTGAACACGTTTTCAAGAACAAGGGCAATAACTCATACTCAATATTATTCAGTATCGCTCTAAAGAGTTCAAAAGAAGTGTATGACTGAAGGTTGAATATTTCATACTGGTGATTGTTACTGTACTGCTAAATATTTATGTTCAAAATCAAAGCTGCCAGTGGGCATATATTACCTTGCCTGGCAAGCTATCTTTATTCAAAGTAACGACTTTGGTTTACTCAAAGTAACAACTTTGGTTTACTCAAAGTAACGACTTTAGGTTCACTCAAAGTAACAACTTTACTTTACACATAGCAACGGCTTTGATAAACACGTAGCAACTGTAAATTTTACACAAGGCAACGGCTTTAGTTTACACAAAGCGCTTTTGTTCATAACAGCAACGTTTTTAGTTCACACAAAGCAAGGCTTTGGCTTACACAAAGCGCTGTTAGAAAATAACGGCTTGAATAACGTCAAGCAACAGCATTTAACATAAGCAATGACACGATTTGCCAGCTCGTGTTGATAATTACAAAAACTAAGCCAATATTTTGATGTTAGATTTTTGAGGCACACAGTCAAAACAACTTGATAAGCCAAACATAGAAAATATTTCCAAGCATGGATACGCTTACCTTAAAATGCCAATTAATGTGACGCAAATTGGCATCACAGTAGCTTTTCCCTAGTTTCTTGTTTCCTGCATCTGACAGGTGGACACCTGCAAGAAATTTTTTGAATTCAATTGAGCATTTGAAGTGCCTAAACCTGATCGATGCTTCCAAAAGTCAAAAGGACAGAAACACATGTTCGCTAGAGATCGGTTCTAATTCAGAATTGGCTAGAATAATATAATCATTCAAAATTGGAATAGCCTCATTAATCCTTGGTAAGATTTGACTTAGTATAATCCACTTTGTATTAAACCGCCTGTGAATGGCATTGGCAAACTCCAACAAATCATTCACAACCTTTCGAGCGGGTACACCATTTGCCAAATCATTTGACCCCATGTGTAACAGTGTTATATCCTGACCCGTGAAACGATGACAAGCTTTATACAGCCGATAATGAGGATCGGAATCGAACCAAAACAATCTACTGCACAGAGGCATCCTGGTAATTTCAGGTTAAATGCTAAAGCTTCCCGTGACATGTACTGGCCAAGACATTTGATGATTGATGTCCCATATAAGGCTACTCTAATTGGGCACTCCGGAGTGAATGTTTTCACACCTTGCTCGATAGAAAAGGCTGGGATAGACCCGTTTGTAGCTTCTGCAATTTTGTTGGTATTCGCCAGAGAACGAGGCACAAGGTCAAGGTTAAACAGGAATGTGGAAGTGCGAACATTCCAGTGACTGTGTCGAGGCCTGAATCATAGACCGAAAATTCCCCGTAAAAATCCTGAAGATTGTATTCCTGAATTAAATCTACTCATAGGATCTCAAAGAACCTTTCAAAAACGTAGCTGGACATGTTTCTCAACGGTCAATCAATTCGAATTATGGACTAGAAAAGCAGACTACTTTAACACTTGGTCGAGCGACGAGAACACACGATGTCCAAAAAATACACTAGACTTACAAAGTGAAAGTACAGGATAGATAACGTTCACAGAAAGAATATTTAAAAAATGAAATAAAATGAATGGAGTTTTACGTCCTACTCTTCTGCACCTTGTGGGCTAATGAAGACAGGCAACGCCATGCAGGGTGCCATGAGGGAAATTTTGCCAGGACAGCGGCATTAGCCTGCTCTTTTTCGATTTCCAACTGTCGAGGGATCTTTAACATGCACAGCCTGTAGCACACACGGGGCCTCGGTTTATTGTCCCATCCGAACGACTAGACGCTTTTTTCATGTCAGCCCCTCTTACCTGCATTACTGACAGGGGGAAACCAGGTTGAAAAATCCGAAGGTATTATCTCGAGCTATGCCGGGATTGAACCTTGGACCTTCAGGTTAGCGAGCAAGCGTCAGAAAGAATATTTAAATACTGAACGTTTATCTGTTGAGACTTTAGTTGAACCACTCTCTGTAAATACTCAATCAATGTGATCAACAGAAATTCTTATGAGTGACTATGCTGCGATGTGTGTGCAGCAAGATACAGAGAGCGAATGAGAAAAGTGCGGGATATTCTTCTATTTACATATTTCTATGATAATTCTTCGCTCAAATTAGACAACCAATCAGTGTAAGACATAAATTATATCATTTACCATAATGTGTATTTATGACGTCTGAAATCTGCTTCTATTTTCACAACCTTCCAAACAAAGAAAATGTCTTTGATATAGACTGTTCTGGCACATGACCTAATTGACCCAGAAGGTTGATTTTTTACAGAGTCCCCTGCAATTTGCCACAGTAGCAAAGTCCCACTCTGTGCCATAAGTGGCTCGTGTTGTAATTGTTACTGTACTGCAAAATTTTTCTATTTTAAATCAAAGCTGCCAGTGGGCCTATATTACCTTGATTGGTAACATTTTGCCCTGGCAGGTTAGTTTGGTTAGGTTATTGACCTTTAGTACCAATTGCCCTGATGATAGACCTACAGTTCCTTTCTTTTTTTGATTTTTTCAGATATTTTGGAATGCTGGTTGCCAAATGGTATCATTAAATTTCCAAACAGCAGATTTGGCTATGCAATTGAATCAAGGGAAGTTTGAGTATAATAGCAATTGTGGGTATGTATAGAACATTTTCTTATACAGAATAATTTCCATAAAACATGATGGAGGCCATATCATTGAATGCCTGTGCTATTGTACCTATACATCGTTACCTGAGAACCAGACTGTTCTATGTCCACTTTGTGAAAACCTGAGTTGGCATATCAAATGTAGAACTAAAACCGTTATAACGGTACCGAAGCAGTGCGCATCCAACCTGTTACATCGATAAAATGTTGCATTTTAAAGTCACAATGGGATTTCTTACCGGAAAGAAAAGCATGTAAACGTTCAATAGTAGAAAAAATCGTTTAAACCGTTTACCGTTCGGTAGTGAAAAGACGCATGAATTTGATACCATTCGGTACTAAAAGATATTAACATTCGGTAGTAAAAAGTCGAATTTTCAAATAGCTGTAAAGTTAAAAGTTCAATTCGCACACAACAAAAATGAAAATATTTTTGGAAAAGTACAATAATTTGTGTTTCGGCCAAGAGGTCAACAGAGGTCAAATAAAAGAGAATATAAGCCTTAAAAGTGTTGAAAATTGCTGTTTTGGGACGTTTGTAAAAGCGAAAATATATGTCGGACATCAAAGATAAAAGTATGAATGGATATCGTAGATCAATAACCTTTGACCTTCTAAAGACCAAGATTATGCATGTAAATGGTCAAAATATCAAAATTTTATAAATTGTAAATCCTATTCCCTTTTTTAAAGTAAAAGGCCTAAACAAAATGTAACTCTATCAGATATTGTCCCAAATAGTGCTTTAATTTTTTGTAAAATTTCGATGGTGAAAAATGCAAACTTTTCGAGTTATAACAATTTGAATTATTTATGGTAAAGGTAAAAGTAACCCGGATTTGCCACGCCCACAGCAAAAATTTTGTGTTGTCTGTAATAATGTGTACAATGTCAAATAATGTTCAAAATTTCAAGTGTTTACAATCATTAGATCATGAGATATTCGTAGTTAAAATTTTTTTAAGGCAACGGTGACTGTCGGTGGATTATAGAAACCGTTGAAATTACGCAAAGTTACTATAGAAGTCAATACAAAATTTTCAAATTTAATTTTAATCAAAATACCAAAGATAAATTTTCGCTTATATAATTAGGTCACGTGATATTTCCTTTTTTTAAAGTTAAAAATCACGATTTTCAATTGGCTGTAGAACCGGAAGTTAACGGAGCACGACAAAAGTGAAAATATTATCGGATATATCTCGTAATGGGCAACAACCTTTGTTCAGGTCAAAAGGTCAACAAAGGTTTAAGGTAATATGAGCCTTTGAAGTTTCGAAAATTGCTGTTTTAGGACGTCTGTAAAACCGGAAGTATATGTTGCACATCAAAAATCAAAGTAAGAATGGTCATCCTTAGTCAATGACCTTTGACCATGCAAAGGTCAAGGTCATTCATGCTAAAGATCAAAAATAAAAATTTATAAAATTGTTAAACCTGTTCCCTTTTTTAAAGTAAAGAATGCAAACAACTGTAATCTTATAACAAATTGTCCTAAGCAGTGATCTATTTTCATGCAAAATTTCTAGGATGACAATTGAAAACTATGAGATTTATAACAAATGCAAATATTTCAGGTAACGGTAAATGCACACCGGATGTGCCACGCCTACTTCAAACATTTCAATTTGTATGTGATGTTGTGTACATTGTTAAATAATGTTCAAAATTTCAAGTGTTTACAATCATTAGATCATGAGATATTCGTAGTTAAAAGTTTTTTTTAAGGCAACGGTGACTGTCGGTAGATTATAGACGCCGTGAATTTACGCACAGTTACTTTGGAAGTCATTACAAAATTTTCGATTTTTAAAACGCGCAATTTTGATCAGAATGTCAAGTGTGATTTCATGCACTCAAAGAATATATAAGAATTTTTGTCGTATGTTAATCAGGTCACGTGACAGAGTTCTTCAAAGTTAAAAATCGCGATTTTCCAATGGCTGTAGAACCGGAAGTTAACGATGCACAACAAAAGTGGGGATATAATCGGATAGATCTCGTAAGAGGCAACAACTTTTGTTCAGGTCACAAGGTCACCAAAGGTCAAAGTCACTAGATATGAGCCTTAATAGTTTTGACAATTACTGAAAACATAAAACCGGAAATAAAAAAAATACAAAGCCAAAATTCAAAAATCGGCTTCCCATGTTTTGTTAGCAATCTATTGTAGTTTACATAAACATCAAATTTACGCACATCCAATTTTACCCTGAGGCCCCATTTTGAGTTTTATAAAAATGAGTCATATCAAGATGGCGTCTTACACAATACTTCCGGGTCAAATTTTTTGATTCCAAAATTGTTATATGGACAATTTTAACTAATTTCAAAAAGAATTTTTCAAATACCTACAAAATTCCGGAAGTTGAAATTTCAAGTTTAGAGGCGAATGACGTCAAAACCGGAAGTAATATCGAAATTTTGAAAATAGAATTTTGTCAGGAATCAAAATGCTTATCTACTATTAAATTTTTAGACCGATTGAAATAAAATTGTGGAAGTTTAAAAAATGCTTTAAATAAAATCTCAAAAAGTCAGCGACAAAAGTCAAAATTTGAAATTTCTTAAATTGCTATCTTTTAGACATTAGTTCAAAGTAATGAACAAAACAAAAATTATGCCCTAAATAGATTCAGAATAATAGCAGGTATTGGAAAGACGTAATGAATGGTTAAAGTCCTACGTCATTTCCGGTTGGGCGAAGATGCGTCATTTTACATTTAAACAATAGCGACACGCTAAGTATAAGAGATAATGATGTCAGATAATCTGTGGTATGTGCAGTTTTGGCTGGGGAGTGTGACCAGAAGTAGACAAAAAAAAAAAAAAACTAGATCCACAGATCTAGGTTCTGATGCAGTGCGTAACAGTTTTGATCTTACGCTTAAAACTGTGCCGCAAAGTATCGTTGCAGTAACATAATTTCCTATCATAATTAACTGGATATAGATCCCCCAAATGCAGAGCATATTCGACAGATCGCTTCAACTCACATTGCAATCAACAACAGTTGAAGGGAGCAAACTACCTTTATCGTTTAGACCACAAAAAAAACTTACAAGCGGAAAACCGACTTTTTCAAGATAAAATTCATCAACTTCAAATGACGATAAAACCGGAAGTAAACATCGTACAATAAACGTTAATATACCATTGGAAAGATCTCGTCGAGAGCTATCAAAATTGTTCTGGTCACACGATCATCAAAGGTCAAGGTCACGATATACGACCCTTTAAAGTATTCATATTTTTCAACCGGAAATAAATAAAAATCAAAATTTAAAAATCGGTTCTCAAATATTATTTAGCAATCGATAGTAGATACCATAGATATCAAATTTACACAAATTGGATTACACCCTGAGGCCCCATTTCGATTTATTGAAAATTACGCACAGTTACTATAGAAGAAAGTACAAAATTTTCAAATATTAAAAAGCGCAATTTTGATTGAAATATCTAGTGTTCTATATCAT